CGCCCTGAGCCGGACACATGGGGCGTGTAGCTGCTGAGGGCTGGGTGTTAGGAAGGGCTGCAGCTGCGGGCTTCATCACCATAGAGGGCTCTAGTCTAGATTTCTGTCCTTCCCACAAAGCTCTGAGCCCAGGTCCAGGGGTGGGGAAACCCCTGCAGTCCCAGCCCACCCCCACCTGCGGGGGCTGGCAAGCCCTTAGCCACTGCAGCTCCACGGGGCATCAGGAGAAGCCTCCACAGTCTTTCTCCCCACGGTGCTGCTGAGCTGGGGCTGGGACCTGGCCGGGGAGCATCTCAGCCCCATTCTCGGCAGGAGGAACCTGGGAGTGGACACTGCTTGTCCTCCCTCCCCGCTCTGCTGATTCTGCGGAGAACCAATCTGCCTTATCAGAAACTCCCGAGAGTGGCTGGCTAAACCAAACAGCTAGGATTCCTGCTCAGAGGCACATCTGTTCCTGATCGACTGGAGGCTAGGGACGACAAGGCAGGGGAGTGAAGCAGAACTACTCAGCCAGACCTTCCCAAAGTGATGCTCCAGCCAGGTGCAGGGAGCCTGCCAGCCTGGCAGTGGGCAGACCTGGGTTGCCCACAGGGCCTGAGGCAGGAAGAGCTCCCTGCTCCCCACCCTCCGCCCAGCTAAGGAGCCAGGGCCTGCATTTGGGGCCTGGAGCAGGGTGGAAAGGGCCCCACCGTGCATGCCTGCATGCGATGCTAGGCCACCCCAAGCTCCTCCCAGCTGGGGCACTTCCCTGCTCCCGGCCCAGCACCACTTCTCCCATACCACCCACCAGTGCACCTCTAAACTCTCTCAGGTTCCAGGGGTTCCCATGCTTAGCTCATCTCTCTAGAATTTGCCTCTGAGTGGCTCACTCTCCCCTTACAAGTTCCTCCCTGCTTCCCAAAGCTCACTCAAGGTCAAGTTCAGCTTCTTGGCTTAGCATTGAAACGCTGCGAGCTGCAGCCATCTCTCTGCGTGTGCACACCTTTGCCTGCCCACAAGGTTCCCTCTGCCTAGAATGCCCTTCCAGCCCCTGTCTTGCCAGTGCCCATGCACCTGTGCCACCCAGCAGCAGGAGTGCCCCTGTCTGCATGGTCTTTCTCAGCCCCAGGTCTCAGCCCACTGATGCCACCAGGGCCCTTGGCCCAGGAATTTCTTCTTCTGAAGCCCTCGCCGCCCAGCGCCAAGAGCAGGCATGAACAAATGACCAGGAGGAGAGGATGAGGAGAAGGGAGTGGAGGAGGCTGGAGGAGGGAGGGGCCCTCTGGCACACCGCGGAACCCTGGGAAGGTGAAGGATTGCACCACTTTCCCATCTCTTGGGAGAGCCAGCCATGTGGGAGCTGCCTGAAGATGGAGAGGAGCCTGTTCTTGCTTCCAGCCATGGCACTTCGGGGTCGCACCTGTCCCCCACCACTGGGCTCCAGCATGTGCCTGCACCTCACCCTCAGTGCAGTCTGAGGCCACCACTCTGGGGCTGCAGGTTCCCAGGGGCAGAAGCATCCCCATCTCCCTGTGCTCCACAATCAAGGAGGGAGGAGGTGGAGGATGGTGTGCGGCAGGGGGGCAGGTGGGTAGTACGTGCTGTCACCTGAGGGTCTAAGCACCTGTCTAGGTGGAGGGGACACTCAGGGGCTGAAGGGTAGACTTGGGGAGGGTTTCCCTGGAGGGAGCAGCTGCAGGCGGCTGCTTTCCTGCCATCCTTCCCTGTCAGGCCACGCTGAGTCCCTAGTCTAGCTCCCAGATGGACTTGCACCCTGGTACCCCAACCCCCAAGATGCATCTCATGCAGCTGATCCCCCAGAAGAAGCAAGCCCCGCCCTCACCCCAGGTCCGTGGTTCAGTCCCCTCTCCCGGGCCTCAGCAGCCCCTTCCACTGAGGAGCCCTGTAGGAGGACCCAGTGCTGGGGAGAGGGTGGGGGGCTGGCTGGGGAGAGGGTGGGGGGCTGGCTGGGGAGAGGGTGAGGGTTGGCAGAATGTGCCCGGCCAGAGTAAACAGATCATTTCTGTCTGCCTGAGGGGAGGGCTGGGGGTGGGGAGGGAGTTGTCTTAGGCTTTGTTATGTTCTGAAAAAAAGGCAAAAAAATTGGGTCACAAACCACAAACTGTTTTGCTTTCGGCATGACTGGCATAAACAGGCATTTTCTCTTTGGTTTTGGGCCGGCTGAGGCCTGGGCTGGCTGGGGCCGGGAGCCGGGAGACAGGCTGGAGACTGCACTCTGAGGCCTGGGGCTGCAGCCTGGCCTGGGCCAGAGTGAGCTGGGCAGGGCCAGGGGCCCAGCTGAGAAGCCAGAGACCAGGCTTGAGGGGTGGGGCCTGCCAGCCCGTGGCCCCCAGCTCTGGCCTGGCCATACCTGTGCAGGAGCTGGGAGGAGCAGAAACCCTGGGGGCCAGGCCCAGTGCGACAGGTTCCTCTAGGGTGAGGCCTGCTGAGCCTGAGCAGGCCGGCGAGCACCCCAGCAAGGAGCCCTGGCAGGCTGGGTCTACTCCGCAGGCTAACCCAGGGGGCAGGGAGTTAGCCATCGGGTGGGGTGCCAGGGTCCCTCTAGGTACCCTCCAGGGCCTTCTATCTGGCTCCTCTGGTCTGGGAGCCCCAGGTAGGGCCCCAGTGATCCCGGAGAGAACTTGCCAGCAGGCGCCTTGGGGCCATGGTAAGAAGTGTCTCTGGTGGACAGGGGAGGGCTGACTGCCAGGCCAAACAGGAAGGGAAGCCAGCCTCTGGGGGTCAGGATGGCACAGTATAGCAGAGGGTGTGTACGAGTTGCTAGGACAAGGGCGATACCAGCGGGCTGGGCAAGAGGGCAGCAGGTAAAGGCTGGGAGTGGAGGCAGGGGGCAGGTGGGAGGACCGGGGTGGGGCCACGTGCTGGAGAGCCTGGCCAGGGGCTGGATTTGCCAGCGGACCATGGGATTTGGGGATCCTGGGAGGACTCTACATAGAGACAGGCAGGCCCTGGCCCCCCTGCTCTGGTCCCATATGGAGCATGGCCAGAGGGGCTGGCTCTACTGGAGGCTGGACAGCAGAGGCCAGGGCCTGGTGGAGTCCATGGATCTCCTTGACCAACTCAGTGTGAGGTGTGGCAGAGGGCGTGGTTGGTACACTGGGTGAGGGTTGTGCGGGACATCCTGGGGGAGGGAAGCCGGCCACAGCAGGTGCCATTGGAAGCGTGTCCTCTTCCCTCCTGGAGCGTCTGTGGGACAGGCCCACACGGGCTGCTGCTGTGTAGAGGAAGCCCAAGACAGGCTCCACGCCAAGGGTGCAACCACGCCAAGATGACCCGGGCAGAAGTGTGCAGGGGAAGGGGTCCCGGCAGTGGCAGCCCGACCCGGCACCACTGTGGCTGGGCAGGTGTCATAGGGGTGGGTAGGCAGGATCAGGTGACCTCATGGGTCATCACAAGGGTGTCACCAAGGAAATAAGGGGCCACTGCCGAGCTTCGCCACATGGCCGTGTGTGCGCTGCATAGAGGTTAGGAGTAGAGGGGAGAGGGGCCAGAATGGGCAGGTGGGAGGCTGGGGCGGCTGGGGTGCGGGCCAAGGACTGGGAGGTCCTTGATGACACGCTCAAGGCAGGATCCGCAGCACCTGGAACAGAGCCTAGAATGGAGCAGGGGCATCCTAAAGTCATTTCCCAAGTGACCCCTAACAACAGAAATTCATTCTCACAGTTCCAGAGGCCAGAGTCCAAAACCAGGGTGTCTGCCGGGCCTCCCTCCCTCTGAAGTCCCTAGGCGAGGATTCCTCCTCACCCATTCCAGCTCCTGGGGCCCCTGCATTCCCGGGCGTGTGGCTGCCTCACTCCCATCTCTGCCTCCTGGGTCGCCTGGCCTTGCCCTTAGGTGTTCCTTCCCCATCGTGTCTTTTCCGAGGACACCTGTCACTTGATTTAGGCCTGCCCCAAACCCAAAATGATCAAATCGCAAGACCCTACAAAGACCCTTTTTCTTTTTCTCTTTTTCTTGTTTTGAGACAAGATCTTGCTCCCTTGCCCAGGCTGGAGTGCCGTGGCACAATCCTGGCTCACTGCAACCTCTGCCTTCCAGGCTCAAGCCATCCTCCTGCCTCAGCCTCCCAGCTAACTGGGACCACAGGCAAGCACCACCACACCAGCTAATTTTTGTTTTGTTTTGTTTTTTTAGTAGAGATGGTGTTTTGCCATCTTGCTCAGGCAGGTCTCAAACTCCTGGGCTCAGGTGATCCACCCACGTCGGCCTCCCAAAGTCCTGGGATTACAGGCGTGATCCACCGCCCCTGCTGACCCTTTTTCTATACAAGAGCACATTCACAGGTCCGAGGAGATCCGGATGCAGATAGATCTTTTTTTTTTCTTTTTTAGAGAGACATGGGCCTCTCACTCTGTGACCCAGGCTGGACTGTAGTTTCCGTTCACAGGTGCTGTCATACCTCACTGAAACCTTGAACTCCTGCGCTCAGGTGATCCTCCTGCCTCAGCCTCCTAGTAGCTGGGACTGTAGGTCCGAGTCAGCGCACATGGCGGGACAGATCTTTCTGGTGGCCACCATTCACCCCAGGCCAGTGGGGGCCCATGGTGTCTGCTGAACACATGCACTGGTCTCTGCAGCCCACGCCATCTGCCCCCCATTGCAGCTCTGACCTCAGCTCCTACGCAGGCCCCCCACTTCCTCCTGCCACAGCTCCCACCCACCCAAACTCCCAACTTCAAACACTTCCAGGCCACTCATGTTTCATTCCCACTAGGAAAAATGCCCTTTCCTGATACTCCAGACTCCATCTCAGCTCCTTCCAGTCTCTGCCCTCAAGCCAACTTCTCCATGAGGCCTGTCCTGCTTAAAAGAACACCCAGCACCTTTGTCCTTCCCTCCACGACACGAGCTCATCTCTTAGCCTGAGAGTCCTGCATGTGGGTAGTGCCTGTCCAAGTGTTTGGGTACATGGGTGAGTGGGTGGGTGGATGGATGAAAGAGGGGG